ACAACAACAACAAAAAATAAATAAATAAATAAAACAGAATGCGGCAATGCATGCTTGCTGAGTAATTTCCTTGCTGCTGAAGCGAATGCGAAAAAAATAATCTGGCGCGCACGAAGAAAAGAGTGGGAGAAACGTTCAGCGCATTGGATTGGCTGGTTAAGCGGCGTGTTGGGTGAAACCGCAGGTTACTGGATTCGAAGTAGTCGGTAGTTGGCGGTAAAACACGATGCAATTGGCAAAAATCGCTGAATTGGTGAAAATTCTAAAATTTCGACAAAAATCACTAAAAACACTTGAAAAAGGAAAAAAATGGATTACGATCGTAAAATCGTAAAGACAAACGCATTTTCGTAAAAATTACGAAAAATTCGTAAAAGTTGGCAGGTATGCACAAGTAAACTGAATGCAACTAATTTCCAGAGCTCTACTACTTTTGCGAAACACAGAAGATATATAGCTAAATCTTTTTCGCTTTCTGTTTCTTGAAATCATTATCATTCATCACTTGACTGGCTATTTCTTTTCAAACACAACTGATCTTCGCAATAACTATTCACAAACAGGAATGTTCTGCTAAAGATTTCGCCAATGCATTAAGCCTATGCTCAGATTTTTCAATCACTTTTATTTCAGTAAAATTCATAGTTTCATCAAATTTCAAATTTTTGACCTAAAACATATTTTGGGATACATATTTTTCTTCAGATTCATATTTTTTAGTAAATATATTTTCGCAGAGCATTCAATTTAGGAATTTTACCCAATTCTTAGTACCAACCTCATAGCAATTTTTAATTATGATATTGAGAGAAAATATTGTAATGCTCCAGTAAGCCATTCTTTGGCTTTGAATGAAACATTGGAGGTTAGGAACCGAGCACGAACCTCGAATTTCCAGGAAGAAAAAACTTGCATGTGAATATTTAACACTGGAGTCAATAAGAGGACCAATTGCAATAGGACCTCCTAGTATGGGATACACGTTTTCACCTGCGTGAATCACCCTATTTTCAAATTCTTAATAAGCTGTCATGATGAAGTGGCAGGTTCACATGCTCACATCACCTTGACTGCACTTTGATTCACACCACCTTTGACTTTAGCACTTCTGCGGTATTGGCAAATGTTTCTGTATATAATGTTACATTAACAAGGAATACATGGTTTCAAGGTAATTTCATTTTTCAGTTATGCTATATAAATTATAAGAGATTCCAATACCAAAGAGATTATTTTTCAATTATATAAAAATCAAATGATGATTTTAAAATGAGCAACAATTATGACTTTGCCCTCAAAATTTAAAAAAAAAAAAAAAAAAAAAGCATATTACAATACTATGTAAGTGACAATGTTTTTATTTAAAATATTTTTGATATATGGAACATAAAAGTAGCAGATACACTACCAAGGGCATCGAAAGTAGTATATAAATTTTCATGCATATACCAGTGAGTTATAATGATTGGTTCATTTCAAATGAAACCTATCAATGGCTATCTGTCTAAGGGACGGGATGTCTTTGTGCAGGATTTTCATGGGAAATGGCTTGGATACATGTTATACATGTGGAAACCATGAAAACGCTCATGCAGCCAGCTTGTTCAACAAGCTGGTTTAGCATGTTGAATGAGATTCAAACCTCGGATCGAACTACCAGTATTTGGGATTTTACTGCTCAGCTGCTGGTAAGGAAATTGAGCTTTAAAGCATGTTATATTTTTGCGATATTTTGGCATTTAAAAGGTACCTTAAGGTACTTATACACTTAACATAAACATTTTGCTAAAATCTATATTTTTGTAGTCCGGCCAGCTTAGAATTTTAGAAAAAAAATTCATAATACACATCATTACTGCAGATTACCAGAAGATAACATGATGTAATTTGTGCAGAAATGCAACTAGGCTTATATGAATTGCTATTACCCATTCAGCAATCAATGTTTCCTTTATGCGGAAGTGTCCCCACTTTTTGATTTGTGCAGAACTGTCTTGAGTAGAAGTACACATGCTCTGGATGTAAACAAAACATGCCTTCTTCGGCTAGCAAAGCTCAGCAGCACTGTGACAACCATAGAGGAAGGAGGGCATCTCCTTTTATTTTTACCTCCATGTGACACATAAAGTGAGATGTATAAATGATATTTTATGACATTTATAAGTAACAGACACTGTATAATTTCAGATCATAAATTAATAGATAACATTTTTAACAATTATTGTCCTCCTATTTTAGACAACTAACTGCATGCATCTTTATATGACATATCTGAAACATTGTTAGTGCCGTTTAAAGCATAGTCCAAAAATATTAAGACAAATAATTTCATATTCATCCGGGCCTAAAATCCGAATCTTTAATATATCTTTCTATAATATATATTATATATTTCTATAATATTATAATCTTCTCTATTTACTAAATTAATTTCTATCTATTCTTTCAAAGACTTTTAATCTTTTCTTTCGATTTAAACCAATAAAACAAAATAAAAGATACTTTCGTGTTATAGCAGCCACTACAAAAATTTTTAAAAGTTGATTGTTGACTGAATACCAATACTATTTAACACCATACACAGACAACATAACTATTTCAATTAATAACTGTTTTGTATACTTTTAATTGTTTGTACGTCATTTAATGGACAAGAATTATGCTGCTCAAAAATAAATAAATCAGAGTGTAAATAGAAATAGTAGTCAGAAACAAAAGAATTAATTTAAATTTTTAATACTGCAGAACAACAAAACTTTTAATAGTGCACCTCCAAATATTTTCATTATTGATACATGAATTTCATGAAAATTTTCATATATGAAAATTTATATATGAAAATTTAATGAAAATTCATTCATGAAAATTTACTATTATGAAGTAAAATACCATATCCTTCAAAAAGTACTACATACAGCTTGACTCAAATAACTCTCATTCATATGACCCTCATATTCATTTTTGTAGTGTGACCTTGAGTCATATCTAGCAGAGTTTATTTGATGCCAGTAAATAGGTAGCAGAACATCTTCTGAAACCATTTTAAAATCAACTTCAGAAACTAATACAAGAAGGTCATCCCAAATTGTATCCAAGAAATTAGTGCAAGTATCATTTACAGAATAGTTAACTTTATAATATAAATTATTACACTGGTTATCATAAATTAAGGAAAAATCACAAAAATAGCGATAATTGCAAAAATAAGCCAAACCATGTAAAATTTGAATATGTTGCCAAGTAAGAGTAGCTGAGTAAAACTGTGATATGCAAATTAGATGCACTGCTTTCGGAACACGTCATCTGCGAGGAGCATAAAAGTCCACATTTGAGAGCAAGCCCACATATTTCACTGTGACAGTGACATCAGAAATCTGAGATAACCAATTCGTAACAATGACCTCCAGGCATCATTTGCCTGCAGAACTGTGATGGAGAGCCATTGGAAGACTAGAGACAGGACAAAGTCAAACAGAAGTGGCCAGATGGCTAAATGTGAGTCCTTCTGTGGTTCATAGACTTTGGAGACAATTTCAAACCACAGATTCGGCATCTAGGAGGTTCAGCCAAGGACGGCCAACTGCTACGAAGAGCGCCGATGACCGATATTTGACATTATGTGCACGCAGGAATAGAACCGCTACTCCGACTCTTCTTAGATCCTCCCTTACTGCAGCCACCGTAAGGTTGGTGTCAACGTCAACTGTGCGTAGAAGGCTTCACGAAGGCGGTCTGTATGTGAGGCGAACATCCATTTTCGTGCTGCTCAAGTCACGCCATAGGAGGTACCGTTTGCAATGGGCATGACATGTCCATTGGATGCCTGAGCAATGGAGGGTTATTCTCTTTAAGGATGAGTCCAGGTTTAGTCTAGAACGCGATAGTAAGCGTTATTTGATATGGAGAGAACCTGGAACACGTTATTATTCGTCAAACATCCGTGAAAGAGATGAATACGGAAGAGGCAGTGTCTGTGGCATCTCTTTGGGTGGATGCACAGACCTGCATGTTTTCCCAAGGGGAACTGTGAATGCTCATGTTTATAGAGATGACATCCTTGATGTTTATGTGTGCCCATATGCCGGAGCAATAGGTGATGCTTTCCTGTTACAGGGCGACCACGCACGACCACATAGGGCTTGCATCGTAGATGATTATCTTCAACAGGAAACAATTATGCACATTCTATTCAACAGGAAAACAATTATGGCCAGCTCGATCCCCAGACTTGAATCCTATCGAGCACGTTTGGAAGACGTCTAGCTGCTCTGAATCTGCCCCTTCAGACCCTTGTCGCGCTTGCAACTGCTTTGCAAGAGCGATGGCTCTCACTTCCTATGGAACTGATAGACCGCATAATTGAAAGCATCACACATCGCTGTATGAGCTATATTGTTTCTAGAGGCGATCATATCCCATATTGAAGGTACTTTTCCTATAGCAAACTGACACCTTCGATTTGTTCATTTTATACATGTGCTAATTTCTATACTACCATATTTGTCTGTTAATTTCTTTTTATGTTATTTGATACCTTACTATGTGTTGTATATTGTGGGTAAGTTTCATTAAATTCTACATGTAACTTTTTTAGTAATCGTGATTTTTGTGATTTTTCCTTAATTTATGATAACCAGTGTATTTACAATCTTATTATAATATCATCAAGGAATTTAATGCAGGATTCATTATATAAATTTAAACACATAGTAAAAAACTGTAACATGTACAAATTGAAACTAACAGTATTTAATTTCAGACTTATTTGTTATAAAATGAAAAATTTATAGTTATGTGAATAACCTACTTTTAATATGTTTATAATTGTTAACATCATTAATATTTCTAAAATTATTAAAAAAATCAGTGTATTAATAATAATATATATTTTCAATACTAATTTAGATATTAATATTTTAATAGGTATTAAGGCATTTAAAAATTAATATAAAATACCCAGTATATGAAAATTATATTAATTTTCTAAATATAAAAATTACCAGATATTCCTTTTCTTCTCATCTGCAGTTTATTAAATAAATCACTCATGAGATCTCCACTTCCAGTAGATTTTTTCTCTTCCTAATAAAAGTTTAGAAATTAAAACAAATATTTTTTTCATCAATTATTTCTTGCTGCAAAGGAAAGAAATTACACAACTCAAAATATTCTGTATTCCCAGTTAGATCACTTTTTAACAAAGTTGCAGCATCCTGTACATCTTCTGATAAACTTTATTAAATGGAAAATTCTTTAAATGCAGATCATTTAATTAGGATCTGAATGAACAATTAATATAATGAATGGTAAATCATTTAGAATTCAAATACTATAAATATCAATAATATCTACTATAATAAAATCAAATTTTAATATAAAAATTATACACAAACATTTGTTGATTCCATAAGGGTTGATTCCGTTTTATTTAACAAAGGGGGGAATCTTTTAATTTTGTTTGAATTTTTCAATGAAACAATTTTTATTGTTTCATACTAGAAAAACAGGCATTAATTATTCATTAATTAAAAAAAAACAGGCTTTAACTGTAAAGCTGAAAACAGGCATCTACTGCAAGACTGTAAAGCTGATTTTATTAACATTTCACTTTCATTGTCATCCTCTGCTGTTTTGCTATGATTTAACATTATATAAGAACAAAAATGCCTCAATTTATTTATATGCAGTTCTAAAATACTTTATATAAAAATAAATGAATTTTATCTAATCAAGTTTTAAGAGTTTGCATTTTAAGATATTCGTTTTTGCATATTTTTGGAGCGTTACATATTATATTTCGCCATTTTCTAACATGTCATAATATATAGCCATATATAGCCCTACAATGTTTTCAGGATAACCATAATTGAAAATCCTGGTAACAATATTTATGCAAGTTAAAAAAAGTCATTACCTATTGGATAACACACACATTATTATATTTTTCATACTATACAAGTATGTTATAATTTTAACTATTAAAACTAACTTGCAAACAAATATAACTATTTATTACAAAACAGAATTTGAAAAATAAAAATCAATCACAATTACACTGCTGGCCATTAAAATTGCTATGATAAGAAAGCGCCATGCAACAAATGTCAAATCTGCATGAAAGATACAACATGCTGGGATATGCAAACGATTAGCATCCTCCTGCATGCGCACAAAACAGATATGAGAAAGGCCATCTACGAGGCCATTACGTATAAATGGGATTGCACAGCAGGTTTCTCATTCGGAAACTGCACATTTGAATGTTTGTTATTTGTGCACAGGTTGCCTTATATCTCATGTAAGAAAGAAAAATTCCACCAACAAATGTTGGAATTTGATAGCAGAAGGATTGTGTTCCATTGGGACTGTGGTTTGCTCCACAACATTGCTGCCTGTGTTGGTCTGGATGTCATGACTGTCAAGCAAATATGAAATCACTGGGACCAAGAAGGTCATACACCATGCAGGATATCAGTGGCATCAGCAGCACCTGATGGTAATGTGGTTGGTAACGTGGAGTCACCCTTACATTTCTAATATGTTCCCCAAGGTTGCACCCTGCCTTCGATGCCTGCGCAATGCCATCCTTCAGCAACATAATGCTTGATTACTTGTTACCCGTGCTGTCTTGACCTTCCTTGATACAGAGGGTATTTCATTGTTGTCCTCGCCAGCGAATTCTCCAGATCCCTCACCTATTGAGAATATCTGTCAGTGGATTGCTAAGAGATTAGTACACCTTCACTTGCCAGCTATTGTTATTACTGAATGAATAAAATATGTGAATGGAGGACGCACATTTATCATCCAAACTAAGTTTAACTCAATGCTCAGTTGGATTGCAGGTGTTAATGCTGTCAGAGGTGGCAGATCTGTGTATTGAATTCTGCAGGCTACGTACTCGTAAACCACTTTGAATTTAATAATGTCTCCTGTTATACCATATATGTCCACTGCGCAAAAAAAGGGGGGAGGCAGTTCTATATCTCTCATTCTACTGAGCTGATTGACGAAATTCAAATTGCATTTTTCATATCTCAAAAGCGACACTTAGGACATATATTAGATTTACATATAGCATTACTCTAACATACATATTTTGACACAAAATCGGACTTTTTCTGAAATAGCATATCAATTTCTTTTCATATTTAGATTCTACTATTCAAATTATGCCACACTGCCATGTTTTGTAAAAATCGCAAAAGTAGTTCTTAAAAAATTAGCTCTCAAAATTTTAGGTCCTCAATGTTAATTGAATTTGGTACATATTTATTAATATCTCTTTTTTAATTAAACTTTTTTCATTCTTTCTTTCACATTTCGTTCGAAATTTAGCTTCATTCCAAATAAAATTCCCACATTTTTTATGATTTATTTGTAAAATTTCTATTTTTAAATAACTTTTATAAATTTTTCAAAAAAAAATTTGAATTATAACCTATAAAATTCTTACCATCATTTTAAAGTAGGTGTATTTCTAAGCATACATGGAAAAAATTAAGAGTTTTTTATTCAAAATTTTCTAAGATATACACAAATTTACATATTGGCACGTTTTAAAATTCGGCATCTTTTTTTTCTGAGTGATAATAACGCCAAATGTGGTTTATGGATTTTGTTACAGTGAATTGCCACAGCTATTTTTAACCTTAATTTTCAAATAATTTTTTATGGAGAATTAATTATATGAAATTTTTTCCTCAATGATGCATAATGAATATTTACTAATACTATATGAAAAAAAATTAATTACATATATTATTCAAATTTTTAACTTTTTTTTTTTAGTTTCTTTCTTTCTTCCCTTTTTTTAAACATTCGTAACAGTAAATTTTTACCTTCAACGTATTATCGTGTCTGCTACTTTACTTTAACTTCATTTAAATTGAATTGTCGAAAACCGAGAAAGTTCATTTGATGTTTATTTTCACTTCATGTTTTTAAGCAAACAGGACGTTCACAGTTTGGTTCATGTCCCAGCTTTAAAAAAATATATATATATAAATATAAATTTTTACATTAATCCTCTTAGAAAGAATGTTTTAAGCGGTGATTTTCTCTCATGATGTAGATTATATAAAAAACATAGTCTTTAATATCGAAATTATTAAGCTTAAAAACTCTAATATTATTTAGATTGTTTGCACTAGATATAAGAATCGGGTCACTCAGTGGTACAGGATAAGCGCTGCTGGAGCGGTTTATTTCTTTCTCATTTAAAAAAAATCTTTTAATTCAAATATTTATCCTTTGGACTTTGCTTTAAACTTTATTTAGAGTTAAAATGTCTAGAAAATGAAAAGCTGTCTTCAGCTGAAACGGATTTGATGCAACTGATATTTTAAAAAATTTGACAAGAATGCAAAATTTAGGAAGTGTAACAATAAAAAAAATCTTAAATTTCTTGTGTCAACACTGAAAACAAATGTAGAAGGAAATTAGGGGGAAAAAAGCAAAAATTTAAAGGGGAATCTACTTCAAGGAAGTTGGGTGTTCAAAGAGAAAACACTTGGATGTACACACCAGCAAATAGCAGCAATTGAGTTTGTGCTAACGGAAAATACAAAAACGATATCATTGCAGATTAATGTGAACAGCAACTGGTTTTTGACCATATGGTTGTATAAATTACCCCACTAAACATCATATCGTATCATAAACGGAGCACCCCATGATTTCTCAGTAGAATTATTTGAAGATTCAGGACTTTATCTAGTGACGTATGGAAATCATCTAAAGATGTTTTCTCTCTTGATGAAACCAGTCTTTAATTTCATTTCATGCCTTCAAAATGCCTAGCCTCTAAAGACTGATAAAGGCTCTGACCAAATACTGATGAAATGGATTGAATTGGGTTATTAAGTTTTGGCAAAGCAGGGCTATCTCCCTAAAATGAGGGATGCCTTCATGAAGAACTTTTTAAGGGAAGCCAGCTCATATACACGTTACACATAAGAAAAACCATGAAAACACCCATGCAACCAGCACATTTACTGTGTTTCGAACCCTGGAGGGAAGTACCAATGTTCAGCGACTTTACTACTCAGCCCTTTTGAAATAGAAGGCAATAACTTTATTTAAACTTAATGTCAGAAATACCAAGATACTTCGAATGCTTTTTAATGTACTTGTAGAATGCCTGAAGAAAAAGAGAAAACCATTAAGAAGAAAAATAAATTTTTGCATAAATTTATAATTTTTTTTAATTAACAATTTTTTAAATTTTATGATATTTGATTCTTGTGATTTCAAAAATAAAATATTTGACTAAAATATTAATAACATTTTAAGAAACTAAATGTAGGATGATAAAATTGTGTTAAGCAATGGGCACAATGATAAAACTGTTTAAAGCAATGCATGCAAGTTATCCTAAATTAAAATGTCGGATATACATCTCTCTTCTTTATACAGTACAAAGTCCATAATCCGGATGTCCATTATTGGGAGTGATCTATAATCTGGATCTCAAAGCCACAAACTTTACGCAAGCACGCATTGAAAGAAATGTTTAATAAAGTAAATAAATAAAATATTAAGCTTTTTTTTTTTGTAAAATTTGATACCATTTAGATCATAATTGCTCTTTATTTCATAAATTACGATTTCATATTTTTAATTGTATAATTTCTGCATGCCATCTTACAAGATTTAAATTCATGATCTATAATCCGGAAAAAACACTAATCCGGAATTGGCGAAGTATCGACGAGTCCGGATTACAGATTTTGTACTGTATATCTTTTCTAAATGGAATATTGAAAGGCGTATTAACTGTGCTTTACTGTATTTTCTCTCTTAATATATGCAGTTTTCATACACATTGTAGTCTGGGTCACAAAGTATTCTTTCGAAAGAAATGCAATTCAAGTAAATAAAATCAAATTCTGGAAAATTTATATTAATAAATATATTTAAAATGCACCATTCAAATGAATGAATAGAAAATTTTAAAACAATTATCTGAGGAGACAATGCAACACAAACAATTAAAATAAAAGTCTAAAAAATTAAAAAATTACCTAAAATAATAAATATGACTAAATATATAGTATAAAGAAAACTATTTGAAAAAAATA